AGACCGGCCTGGGAAGTAACCCCCTGGGCCGTGGGGTGGGCTTGGGGTGGGCTCGAGCTCATGGCCATTCAGCCCCCGCGTGTGAACGGCTGTCCCACGCCTGTTCTGAAGGAAGTCAAAGCCCACAACAGCAGCCAGTCCTGGGGTAAACCATCCGCTGGGTCTAGCCTGTCCCACACCTGTTTTACTGGAAGTCAAATCCACCTCAGGTTAAACCTGAATGCCTTGCTTGTTTGTAACCAGCCTTGAGGCCGGTCCCTACAGCCCCAGTCTGTGTGGGGAACTGAGGTGAAGCTTAAGGGCTTGTTATGATCATAGAATAAGAATGACAAAGCCATAAGGGAAATGCAGAGTGCCCAAGCTAACATGAGAGGGAAGGAGGTGAGGAGGGGAACACAACTAGGTTACATAAATACAGTGTCAGCCTCCTAAGCCCCCCGGGGGTGGGAGGCGGGGTGGGGGAAGGGTGGGGGTTGCTGAGAGAAAAGAAGATACAAACAAACCCATAAAAAGGTCCACAATGGTGGAGGGGGTGAGTTGAACAAACAAGTCACTCAGTCCATGGAGTCCTACTGCCAGGGTATGTGCCTGGTGGAGTGGAGTAGTTAGTGGTTGAGAATAAGTCTCAGAGTCCATCAGGTGCAGAGGGGGTTCAGGTGGTCCTCTCTGGGTCCAGTCTAGTAGCAGTCGGTCTGGCAGGGTTGGCATACCGGCGCTGGCCTGTGATGTGTTCCACCTAGATGTCATGGGACCAGCAGATGGTGTCAGATACCATGAATTGCCGCATCAGCTTGGCGTAGCAGCGGGAGATGCAGCAGGCATACAGGACTGTCTCATTGCTGGGGTCCCAGGCTCCAAATGCTCCCACATTGAGTGCATTGACTGTCATGTCATAGCCGCAGCTCCTCAGGATGTTGGCCAGTGGGGCGTACTTCTCCTGCTTGCTAGCCTGGGTTTCGGTGAAGGCTTGGCACCGGTTCTCAAAGCAGATGGTTATGTCCACTATCATGACCTTCTTGGCCTCCTTGTCAATGATGACGATGTTGGGGTGCATCTGGCTCTCAGAGTCTGGGATGGCGCGGTTCACAGAGATCTCCCCTGCTGTGGCCGGGATGACGTTCGATGGGCAGTCCTGAACAGTGTTGTGGTGGAGCTGCCAGGCTCTGGCATACTGCCTGCAGGCACACAGCGTGTGGGGGAGGGACTGAGGTGAAGCTTAAGATCTTTCCTGCACATGTAAGTTTACCTGCTTTAACTCCACTGCTCTACTAGACATCCTGCTGTGGGGTTCAGATGTGAGTTCTGTCGTGGAGCATTGTGAATTCTGTTAGTATAGAAGACATTAACTTTTGAGGTACATGCTGCGAGGACATATGTTTCTAGTCATGCTAGTGCGCCATTAGTCCTGCATGTGATAGTCACAGAACCAGCCAGAGATGATTCTATTTGAGACTTGATTTTTGGTGAGCAATGAGAACCTCAAGAACTATGTATAACAGATAAACTTGGATTAAGGAATTAGAAGTAGAGACATCTTAAAGGAAGGGTCATGCGCAAATAGAAAACTAACTAGTTCACTTGCCAAAATATATCCTTCTGAAATTGAGAACCTTCATTACAGAAGTGAGCTGGACTGAGGTGCTCTGGGATTTGAATGGAGTGGAGGCTTGGAATGGCTTTAAGCCAAAGGAGCAAAACCAAAAGGTGCAAGCAAGAGAAAGGCTCCAGATCTAATTAACCAAACCATCCCAAGGAAGATCTTGGGATAGGCAAAGATGCTATAAGGAATAGGGAGGAGGGAAAAAGAAATGCTTGCCAAGGAAAGCTACCTCTTGGAAGTCAAGAAGTATAGAGATCCAGGGATATCTGCAAAACCTGAGTTTAGTAAGACCTTGCAAAAGATATTAAATTGTAAAAGGTTCTTCAACCGTAAGTAGAGGTGCACCAATACATTGGTCCGATATCAGATCAGTACCAATATAAAGAAAACTGGCTGTATTGGAAACAGCTCAATGGGGCTGATAATTTGGCCGATAAATGCCTGTGCTGCGTGCAGCCCCAGCACAGCACTCAGGCAGCAAGAAGCAGAGCCAGCAGCATGGAGAGCTGCATGCAGCTGGTAAGTCTGTTGTGGTGGAAGGGGAGTGGGGAGGGAAGGGGTGTGGGGGGATACAGATCAATGTCCCTGTGGTGAGGGAGGGGGCAGGGGCAGGCACTGCCTAGACAGGGAGGGGCAGGGGTGGCCAGAGCGAGCCGCAGCTCATGTTGGGGGGAAGGCAACTCCCATCGCTGCTTGCACCCTGGGAGGGCACGGTGGGGGGAGATGTGGGTGTCCCCCAGATCTGGGCGAGGCAGAGCAGGGTGGGGTGGTGCAGGCTGCAGCCGGGGCTGCGTGGGGCTGTTCTTGGCAGGGGCTGGGTTCGAAGCAGGCACCAGTGGTGCTGGGAGGATACTGCACCCACCCCAAATTTGGCCATTGGTCCACTCCCAGCACTGATGCCGCCAGCCGCCTGGTGCAGCCCTGCCTCAATGCTCTGCCTCCACGCACGCGCTGGAAAGAGCCGGGGCTGTGCCAGGAGACTGGCAGCAATGGCGCTGGGAGCAGAGTGGTAGCAAAATATGGGGTGGATGCAGCATCCTCCCAGTGCCGCCAGCATCTGCTCCAAGCTCAGCCCCCATCAAGAGGAGCCCCGCACAGCCCCAGCTGCAGCCCAACCAACCCTGCCCTGTGCAGGTCCAGGGGGCACATGCCCCCCACTCCCCCGTGCTCTCCCAGGGTGCAGGCAACAGTGGGAGCCGCCTCCTCCCCATGAGCCGCAGTTCTGGCCCCCCCTGCCCCTGCCCCCTCCATCACTGCGGGGGGCATTGATCTGCCTCCCCATGCCCCTTCCCTCCCCTTCCCCTTCCACCACAACAGACTTACCAACTGGAGGCAGCTGTATCGGAAAATGGATTTGTATTGGCTGATATGCCTCCTTAAATATTGGCTATCAATATCAGCCCCAAAAAATCTATATTGATGCACACCTAACCATAAGAATAAGAGGAGAACCAGGACAGAAAAAAATGTCACCTTGAAAGGACATTAAAATTAATGTCCATATTAAAAGCAATCACATATGGCTTAAACTGAATGCTTTGCCTCAGTTTTCAAAATGGATGATGGTTTTGAACGTGGAGTTTTATAAAACTAGGAAGGTAAATGGGATTAAGGATGTGGAAATTGCCACAGGTGGAGTGGAAGCAGAACTCAGAGTTTAATGCATTTAAGTTGGAGAAAGGGATAGCTTCCCTTCTGAAAAAACTGACCCATGAAATTGCAAGTCTGGTAGGTCATATTTTTTAACAGAGCTATTAAGTCAGGGCTGATATCATGTCATTGTAACTACAGTACTTACATTTGAGAGGTGGAGAAAGGGACTGGTCTAATCAACTAAAGCCCTATTAGTCTGACCTTAATGAAACACAAAGCTTTTGTTGAATGTATAATTGAAGATATAAAGGTAAACTGAAAACAGTAAAAATGCAGCACGGTTTTACTGATAGTGCATTGTGCCAGACTAACTGATCTTTCTTTGATATCATGTCATATGGGATGCCATTAGTTAAACTAGAGAAGATGGGGTTTAGTGAAAGAACTGTAGGGTAAATGAAGAACTGATTTAAGGGTAAATAGCAACAAGTAACATTGAAAGAGGAAATATCAGGTTGGAAGGAGGTTAGTAGTGCAGATCTGCCAGGATTTATCTTGGGACCAGTCTTCTTTTAATATTTCCATTAATGGCCTTGGCACAAAATGTCAGAGTAAACTAATGAAACTTGCTGATGACTAAAAGATAGACATGACTCGTACTAGTGGTCCTCAACCTTTTCAGCCTTAAGGGATCTGTCCATAAATTTTTCTGAATTTAGCGGCAGCCTGGGCTGCTGGTTGAGATTTACTGAGCCAGAATCCAAATTCAGAATAGTTACAGAGGGCTGCCTTGAGACTAAAATGTTTTGAGAAACACTTATCTAGCTGGTGCCAGGAGAGAGAGGTGGGCACAGGACCTTACCCCGCACTACTCCCCGCTGTTTACCACCTGCCCTCACTGTCTCTGGGTCTCTACTTGACAGCGGTCCCTTTGAGTCTTGTACTGCTTTTGCTATTCAGGAAGTGGAACAAGATATCAGTGTCTGTGTAAGATACCTTAATATCACTATACCTGCTGCATCTGCAGTCTGGGTTGTACTGGTGTTGTTTTAGAACAGTAAAATGGTTTCCAAATAGTTCTAGTGGAATGAAAGGTGTATGTAGAGGCAGAGCCATCCGTAGGGGAGTGTGGGGCCCAAGGCATATCAGCCTGTGTAGGGACGGGGGAGTGGGGACAGTGACTGCCTGCAGAAGCTGGCAGCGGCAGGAGGGGAGGGCGGGGGTAGTGACCACCTGCAGAAGCTGCCACCAGTTGCAGCGGTGGGGCCTCTATGGCACTGTCTGCGGGGCCCCCCAAAGTGCAGGGCCCAGGGTGGTCGCCCCAATTCACCCTGCCCCCACCCCCCCAGGATGGCCCTGTGTAGCGAAAGCCTTAGTGACCTGTCCAGGATTACACAATTAGAGTAGTATCAGGACTGTGATGCCAAAAATGACAGTTTCCAGTCTTGCACACTTAGTGCTAGATTTATTGTACTAGGCACCTGCTTGTCAGGTGTCCTCAATTTTATCAAAATAGTAAGAGAGTGCACACAGGAAGTTACCATGAGTTATGCTACATTCTCTAAATTCACCCCCTAACTTACCTTAAGGTTGGGCTGTCCAACTGGTGGTTTCTGGGCTGCATGCAGCCTGCAAGGAGTTAAATTGCGGCCTGAGCTCTCATCTGACTGCTGATCCATGCATTGTGCCAACTGCAACAGCAGTCAGAGTCTTTGGGCTCCCCCTCCCTCTTCTGGCAGCTGAGCCATGCAGTGCAGGGAGCTGAGAGTGAGACCGGGCCAGCGGGGTAGGGGAAGGGGGAGATGTGGTTCAGGACTGCGCAAGGCAATTGTGGGTGCCATGTGTGGCCATGGCCTCCAGGGTTTGTGGACCCTGGGGGCTTAGCAGGTGGACAGCCCAACTTTAAGGTAAATGTTTTTCATATGTCCTTACCTATAATCTGAAAGGGAGTGTTTTGTATTCTAGGAGATTTTAACAACAATTCTTTAATATACAAAAAATTATGGTGACTGTTGCAGGACCTGTATTGTGCTTTAAGTTGATCCCACTGCAAGAGTTCTGTGGTTGCAAGCAGTGATGTAGTAATGCATTGTAGCTGCTGTTTAATATTAACATGCCTGTTTGTATCTGCTTTGTTTGGATGAAGAGATCAATGTTTGCCAAGAGGGAAAAGGGCAAAATGAATTAGATGGGGAGGTTGGGGGGGGGAAGGGGGGGAAGCAGCAGTGTATGTAACTTCCCATTTTCAGGCTTCTGAACTGGTATACTTAGAACACTGAGAGTAAACCCAAACCAGGCCATGGTGAAATTGTTTCCCCAGGTTATGGAGCTGCTTAAAACCAGATGGGTAAAAAAGGTAGAAAATAATTAAATAGAAGCAAGTTTTGTGTTGCAGTTCTTGAGTATATCATTTTAATACTTGTCCCTGTGACCTTGTAAAATAGATTGTTGGTATCTTAACTTTTCTTTACCAAATCTTAATTCAATATTCTTCCAAAATCAATTGAAATTATATTTTATAAGAAAAGCATTTCATAACTAAATATATTAAAACACGGGACCCAGAAATGGGATGTGCAGCATGGGGGAGCTGCAGGGGTTAGTGCAGCCATCACTCCCCTCCTCCGTTGTCCCCCCTCCTGCTGTTCACATGGAGCTTCATACCCTGAATTTCAGTGGCAGACCCTACCCCTAAATTGCCTGTCCCTCCAGGGGCCCCACCAGTCCAGGGGACTTGGCTCTGTGGTCCAGATCCAGCCTGTGGGCCATAGATTTGACACCGCTGTCTTAACAATTCAGAGCTAAATCTTGCAGGGTTTTGTGCAGGCAAAGCTCTCTAAAATAAACCTGAGGCTTGATTGCAGTAAATACTGCAGGATCAGGTCCTTGTTCATAGTTTTGGAAGCCTGCTTGCACTTTTTGTACTTTCAGGAAGGGTCAGTCTGCTTCCTCTTTTTGATTGCAATATTTATACTGTTCTCATGCTGCAATTCCTGCTAGGAGATAAACTGAGACTGTGTGAATTAGAAAGAAGCTTGATTGTCATCAACTATGTTAGGTCTTTTGAATGCTGAGCAAAGCACAAACCTGTTTTAGCTATTAAAATTAACGTATGTAGCATAGCTGCCACCGGGGACCATACTGCACTTTATCAATAAGACACAGATTTCTTTGAGGAGGGTCAGAACACTGCACATTCAACATAAAGGGAAAATTAAGATAATTCTCAGTTGTTATGTCATTACTTTGGGCTCATTAATTTTGTGGAAGAATTTTCTGTGCACTGTTTAATTTTGGGGGTGCATCTTATACTGGCAAAAGATGCCCGTCTGACAGTTTTGGAGGCTGGAGGCCGATGTGTAACCTTAGAACAGGTGCAGCATGAGCAGTCCTGATGCAAGTTTCTCCTTTGCCTCTAATCTGGCCTGAAGGGGGCCACTCCAGGACCAGGCCTAGAGGTTTTGCTAGTACAGGTTTCCCTCAATTTATGCGGTACATGCATTCCTGGAGAACAGTGCATAATTGAATTCTCATAAAGCAAACCCACATTATAATGTAACAAATAGGGATAGGTTCCCATGGCAGTGAGGGAGGGAGGGAGTGGCTATGTGTGTGGTGGGAAGGGGTCCTAGGGCAATTTTTCTCAGCCCATGGAGAAAAATGTGGGAAACCATGGCTTTTCCCTTGCAGGCTGGCAGAGTTCCAGCCTGCAAGGGGTGCTTGGGACCCCCACACCCACCCCCTGCCCCACACACTAGG